CACACACACACACACACACACACACACACACACACACACACACACTAGTGTCTTAATGCCTCAGGTTAAGAAGTGATCTCTACTACCTAGATGTGTTGATGCTACCAGATTGACTGAGGCTCACTCATTACCACTGTGTACTTTTCAAAGCCAAAAGCAAGCCTTTGATCTGCTTGTCTCTTCTGCTCTCTCCGTCTCTTCTGCTTTGTTCAGCCCATCTCTTTCAAATACATATCAACTACCCCTTTATTTTACTGCACTTTATTTCTTAGTCTAATTTTCTCACGCCAATAAACACACCTTCGCTTCAGTTAAATAACTATTTTAATCATTTAGAAAAAAACTGCAATTTTGCTCTCCGACTTACATAGCAGAACAAGCCAACCTCTTATATGTTTTATATGATCTCCATAGGCAGGACACTTCCAAACATGATGCGCTTATTAAGCGACAGTTGAAAAGTTCAAATTTTAGCTCATCATACACACTTAATTGCAAATTTAATTTTCATCATTAACTACCATTTAATTGGTCAAAATTACACAGCTCACCGACATTCTCCACTTGGCTCGCATGACTCATAGCAGGAGAGCCAGAACAGACCAGAATATCATTTGAGATTAAATTAATGACATGCATCCAACGTTTGTAAGCCAGTGACAAATTCACGGGTGCCTCACCCCACCCCTTGGATAAGTTTTTTATCAGTACTCACCAATGAGCTCCTTGTTCCTGATGTCCAAAGCCATATTTCTGAGAGCAGTGGCGACAGCGCACACGACTTTGTCATTGTCTATCCTCAATAATTCCACTAGGATGGGAAGGCCTTTCTCCTTACGGACAGCAGCACGGATGTACACTGACCACTGACAAGAAAACACAAGTGGAAAGAGTTAGTGTTCACAGTGTTAACGTCCAACGACCATAAAGAAGGAGTATATTTACACTTAATCTTGCACAAGAGGATTTTAAATAAAAGTTAAATAGAAGAACACCAGCAAAATAACAATTAATTAGTACCATGTAAAAAAAACAACAAAAAAGAGACTGCAATGTGAAATTAGGATAACAGTGTTTTGCTTAATAAAATTGTCATGGGTGCTTTATATGAAATTGTTTACACCCCATAGATTTCCTTTGAGTAAAGTGGTTAGTGTAGGAAAGAAAGGAAAGAGGCAGAAAGAGCTCAGTGGTCAAATGGGAGATGTTATATTCAGCAACTGACGCATTACGCTGTGTCACAAGTAATATACTGTGAGAGGGAGAATTATATGAACCAACCAGAGGAGTTTTAAGCCTGGAGACCTCTCTATCTTCCCTCAACAACTATCAAGGTACCCTCAAATGGGCCACTCAACCCTGAACAGCTCAAATGCATCTGCCTTATGGGTCAATTGCAGACAATTGGGGAGGTACTGAAACGCCCAAGAATCGGTAGAAGTGGTTGAAGTGTGAGGCTGAAAGTTTCTGTCACTTTTATAATTGATCTTTCCACAACATGTAAAAGTTAAAACACAGTTCTGTTTACAAACTAAATAATATATAAGGAAATATTTTACCTATGGATTGAAATGATCTTTGGTAAGACTTACGTGGGCAGAGTTTAGTGTGCCAACACTAATTCTTCACAAACTGATAGCAGCTCTAATTTAATTATAAGAATACTGACAATGAAGTTAAAAACACAACAGGAGAAAACAGAACAATACATGCATGTAAACACAAACACACACACGTTCATACAGTTAGGCTCTTGTAAAATAAACGCAACACAAAAAGTAATGAAAATTTGTGTTTGGTTGAATATTTCTTTGTTCTAAGAGAGCTTCTTGGCAATAAGTCTTACACTGTTGGAAAGCTTGTTTATTCTCCCTTAAATAGTGCCACATTTGTAAGGAAAATGCATTTGAGCAGTAGAGTTGAGCGTGTGGGTTGCACCCATGAAAAATTTGCAGTCTTTTCTGCTTAAAACATTTTACTCTGCTATTGACACTTGTTTGGTTTCATTTCCTGGATTGAATGATTAAAGGATGAATAAACACGACACATTGGAAATTTAATAATTTATTCACTTAACAACAGACGAGCATGTGGAAGAACCACACAGAGCCATAACAGCCTTGCACCTCAAACTCACGCTGGTCACCAGTTTGGTTACACACTACTGTGGGATGGCCTCCCATTCTTCAAACAGCATTTGTTGCAAGTCATCCAGCGTGGTTGTGTTGGTCACTCTGGCATGAACGGTGAGCAAAAGCTGATCACATGAGTATTCAGTGGGGTTGAGGTCAGGACTGGAGGCAGGCCATTCCTTTATCTCCACTCCCAAATTCTGGAGGTAGTCTCTTATAAACCACGCTCTGTGGGGGCGATCTTTGAGGGTATTCTTGGAAGACTTCAGTCCCAGACTGCAGCAATATCTTCTCTACACTTTGACCCTACAATCCAACTGCTGTAGGAAGAATCCTGACTGATCACTGAACATAAAATTCACCCACATGTTCAGGTGTTAGCAACATGCACTGATGTCAGCACATGTTCCCTACACCAGTGCAATGAAGGGCAGTCATTGCAGGCCTTCTGGCAGCCCTATGAGACCAGAGATTGGCAGTGTGCAGTCTGTTCCAGATAGTCTGGGTAGAGAGCCGTCAACCAAATGGTCCTGAGAGACAAGACTACAAATCTGTAGAAGACTGCTTATGTGCTGAGGGGGTGAGGAAACGGTCTTCTTGTGGTGTTCTTTTCTTGAGACACCAACTTCACGGCCTGTCTCCAAAATTCCCTGTTATATGGAACTTGGCCTTTAACTTGGAGATGGCGCTAGGCCTCACTTGAAGCTGCCCTATGGCACAGGTCCCATCCAGATCAGTCAAATGTGGAGTGTTTAGAGCAGACACCAACTGACCGCTGTAGCAGTGTCCTTGTTCACAGGTGCTGACAATCAGGCACCTGTTTGTCAGCACCTGGGGTACCACAAGCTCAAAACAAAGAGTCAATAACATCAACTCACAACCGGATTTTCCTTACAAAGGTGGCACAATTTAAGGGGAAATACACTGGCTTTCCAATAGTATAAGATTTATTACCAAGAAGCATTTTTACAACAAAGAAAAATCTACCAAATTCAAGTTTCCTTACTTTTTGTGCTGAGTTTCAAACGTGTGATTCCCTTAAGACAACCCACCCCCATCATTTCCTTCTCCTCCTCCACCTTTGATTATTCTAGAGACCCCCTCTTCTATACCTGTCATGCTCCGACTGACTGTCTACTCTACTGTCGATGGAAATACCAATTCAAAATGAGTTACAAACACATCCCATACACATCTACAGGTCCACTGAAGCATACTCTCACAGTGTCTCCCCTGTCTGTCACTCCCCTTTGAGTTCATATTTTCATAAACTGCATTTTTTGGATCAAATAAATACTTCCATTAAGTTTCTCACATAGTCTATTTATGACCAACAATGTCTGGCGCAGTTTTTATTTTTATTTTTATTTTATTTTATTAAGGTCAAGCTAAGATTATACCCACACACTTTCTGCCTTTTACCCTTATATAAACCTCCCTCAAGGCTACAGCTGCCCCCACCAGTGCTCTCCAATATGACATGACTCATACATTATTACCATCTAGCTGCCTCCGTCGGTTGCCTGTTGTTGAACCCTGGCTCTACTCCCTGTGTGTACAGGTTTGGAGCATTTACATTATTACAGTAATTACATTCCTACTGAGCAACGTGCAACACTGCATTACATAGAAGACATAAAAACACGAGACCGAACTCAAAATATTAAATAAAATATTTTATTATTATATAAAATAATAAGTCAGCAGGATGCTGCAGTGAGCAAAAAGATTATTAATTCAAAAGAAAATTACCTTTTTTTTAACCTATGTGGTTATGGAGGCAGAAGACTTTTCATAGGTTTTGCTGCGTTTGACTGTATACAATGAAGCTCTTAGCACCAGGCATGCATATTCACACAGTTTACTTGCACACATTCAGCTTATACATGCATACTTAAGTATTTTGTCCAACATATAATGTGAATATGCACGTTTATCTATGTTTTTTCAGAGCACAAGCCCTGTGTGCAATTAGTAAAGTGTGTCTCTGCATTCACTGCACAGCCACTGTGTGTTAGGACAAGCTAAACACATCTGCACTTGCAGTTGTATACTCATCTGTGGTTGTATAATTCGACAATTTATATTTGACAATATAATATAACAAGGCAAACAATTTTGAAAAGCATCTCAAATCTAGCATTACCTTCCAGCTGCCTGCAGCCAGGTTCTGCAGAGCCCCAGCTGCACCCTCTAGAGTGTCAGGATTGGAGCATTCCGACAGCAGGGTGAGGTAGGGCTTGACGATGGTGGGGTGCCACAGCATCTGAACTCCTTTGGGGGGCTCTGCCGTGTCGGGAAAGGGGCCCACGCCATCCCACTGTGAGAGATGAGACAGAGTAAAATAGCTTTTTTTAATGTTAATTTATATTCATGAAGAAATACTTTAAGGAAACCGTTAACTCCATTCTCACAATCACATTTTGTTTTACCCTTTAGGAAACTGTTTACTTTGTTTAAAACCAAAAAACAGCACCTCTTCAGTGTGGTTGAACACTTTAATGACATTTTTCACCAATTCTAGGAGAAATAAGTGACTGTGAAATCGTAGGATGTTCCTTTTTCTGTTCTTCCATGCAAAGCTTACAGTGATTCTATAAAAACCTGCATAAGAAATCTGAATGAACTTGCTTTTGGATCTAAACACATTTTTTATGTCAGAGTGACTGAATTCACATGAGAATAGCGAAATGCACTGCCCCTGGTACACCCTGACCTATTAGAAAAGTTACCGAGACACTGAGTAAATCATTCCTTGTCAGCTTAAGAATAGTGATGGATGGATGAATAGCGATAAAGGTGTTGAAGGGCTTAGATAGAAGGGAGATGTATGATCTGAAACGACAGTGAGAGCTGCAGAAGGAGAAGACACTATGAGAGAATGTTTCACTGCTACATTTGCTTTGAGCAATAAACATAAAGCTTTACAGCTATTTCTCACTTCATCTTTGTCTTTTTTCATTACAGAGGAGCCTTTCTTGATGTCTGAACTTCTTTGTTGGCTGACATACCCACACCTTTTTCATGTAGGCATACACCAGCTCTCTTCCTCTTAATTCTCTCTTGCATGTCATTTATATCTTTCCCCGATTTTTCCTCCTTTTAATTCTTCTCTCTCTCTCTCTGCCTCTCTCTCCTGATTTCTCTGTCTCTTTCTTGCATGCTTGACCCTTTTTCCTAATTTCTTATTCTGTTTCCGTCCCGCTCTTTCCAGTTCTCAGTTTTTCCTCTCCCTATCGACCTTCTCGGTTTCGCTCTACTGCATCCTCTCCTCTTCTTGTCTCAAGGTAAACCAAGCTAGTGTATATCTTGAAAGAAGCACTGTGGCATGTGTGTGTTTGTGTGCAACTGAGTGCCACTATCTGTTTTTATCTATGTACAGATTCGATAAGAAATCATAAAACTCAAAGCATAGATTAAAGCACTACACAAAGGAGCATCAGATGATTCACAATAGCCATTCTACATATTTAACACACACATATATGTTGCTAAATGCCCTAAAATAGCATTTTAAAATACATTTACTTCAGTATGGTGTTATTAACCTTTTCATCTTGGACTTCCTGTTTTGAGTATTTGCTTATTTGCATCTCTGATGCAAGCCGGATCTCCTCCACTGTGTCAAAATGTTTTATCTTCAACTTAAGTTTTACTTTGGAGAAGAGGAGTGATTTGTGGGGGAATAGAGGGTTCGGTGAATAAGATGAATGAAGAAAAAAGAATGTGTTAGTGCGTCCAAAAACATCTGTGCCAACTTTTCTCCCTGAAATGCGTTTGGATGTTGAAGAAAAACTCCTCGATCACAGCCTTCCCCCTGGGGGAAAAATCCACAGTGCAAAAACCCTGTGAACATCAAGGAATAACAAGCATGCTGGCCCGCTGCCTTGTCTACAGGCTTGAACACATTTGCTTTTTTGAGAAAGTTTGAGGTCCGTGCTAATCCTGCAGTACAAGTGGTCAGACCTGCACCACTACAATGTCAATTCAAATACACCAGAAACCCTGAAAGCAGCGCAGCAATACAATAGGAGAAAACCTTCAAAAGAGATTAGCACAATTAAATCAGGCGTGCCTTTTATATATCAGTTATTTAAAATACTTTAAAAATGAAGTCATATAGTCAGACTGCTAAATACCTAAAAAAATGCAGATTACACAAAATATCAACAATTCCAGGAAAACATTTTTCAGTAGTTCATTAGGATTGTTTTGGTCAAGTTCAGGCTCCCTGATCTTCCGATCTTAACTTGTTTTCTCTATCTCTCTCTCTTGGCTTCAACTCTAGACTTTCTCAGTCTGTCAGCCTCCCACTAACTACTATCCCTGCTTCATTTTCATAGGGTTTTATAGTGTATACCTCTGGGGTTTGACCTTTTGCTACTTCCCATTATGTATCCCTCTATTCATCAGTGTGTATTCCCTCCTGGCAGTACTGACTGCTTTGCTTTGATGGTTGAAATTTGGCCTCAAATTCTTTTCAAATTTAGTTTACTAATATTTTCATTTCATTTAAACACAGCTTTGCCAGAGCATTGAATGGATCATCACTGGTCAGCAACAAATAAAATAGAGACATATTCTTGATATCTAGTTTGGTTTGGGCCTCAAATTTACTTCTAGTCCATCCGGTTAACTCTGAAAGATGTAAGTAAGGTCTGTGTTTGCATACTTTAGGCCTGTGTCTGTGTTGAGGTATTTAGGAAATTAAAAGAAGCTGAATGTTGAAGCCTTTAAAAGAAAGTTGAGGTCACAAAGACTCAATTATATATAAAGTTAAAGAGCAGAAATAAAACCTAACACAAGCCAGTTAATTTGAAAAGAAACCAATGCTTTTCAGATAACCTTGAAGAGAAACTGATCTGCATTTAACTGCAGATCCCTGCTGAAAGGGATGTGCGGCAGGTTTCAGACATTCAATTTATTTATTTTTTTAAAACTTGTTTAACTTGCTCACAACATCTGGTTAGCTCCTACTTTCTGTGTCTTTACCTGGTCAGCTCCCTTCTTTTTCTTCTTCTTCTTGCCCCAGCAACCAGAGCTCTCTCCATCGCGACCATTGGCGTCACAAAGCAGGCCATCCAGCTCTTCCAACCCCCCTTGCTGACCATGAGATGTCTCAGCAGCCAGTCGGTATGACAGGTTCCTCAGGATGCAAACACAGTTCTCCACAGTCTGCGAACAGAGCGAGATGGGAGAGATGAAGGCGGAAGAGAAGGTGGAGAGAAATAAGACGAGATCAATAAAGGGAGAGGTTTAAATTAAAAAAAAAGTTGAGATTGAAGATTTGTGTTTGATGCCATTTAATGAAACATCTCTGAAAACACCGAGCAAACTCAAATTCAAAGAACAGTAATAAAAACCACCCACTCGCTCACTTTTACACTATCAGCCTTCCACCCGCACTCAGGAGCCAGACAGATGGAGAGGGTGAAAGACAGGGAGGGGGACGGCAAGTGAGAGGGAGAGGAAAAGGAAAGAACAACAATAATCTCACAAGTAATATTCTTCTGCATATTGTTAGCTCTGACTTTGAAATGAGATTAGCAGAAACTCAGGTAAATGAGGAAAAATGACAAACCCAATATATTATATCACGCCCCATTAAACATGAAGTTTTGAGGCTCACCCAGTAGCCAGAGAACATGCGTGTACTCTTGAGTCTGAAGGAAAGCCGATTCTCTAATAGTGTATATTGTCTCTTCTTAAGTGTGTGTGTTCTGTTTTGTTTCTTTAACTGATTGTGTGCACTTGCATACGTGTGCGTCGCTGACAAAGGGGAGACATCAAGTCAACAGAGTGGAAATTAACAAAGACAAATCATCAATCTTCACTCAGTCTGACTGTTGGTTTAGACAAAAACAACTAAGGAGTGTAATTGAACACCCTCAAGAGATGCTGCAAACAAAACAATGTCTCACTCCAGTGAGCTGCAGTCATATTTGAAATTCTATTCTCACGTTATTATGGAGCGATGTAGGAGAAGTTACATTTTATTTACAATTTGCTGTGACATTTCGGATTTCGATCTATTATTTCACATTTCTTCCGTACCCTTTTGGTTCTAGGTGCACTGTGCAGGGAAATGAAGTTGCCAGGTAAACGGATTCTGTTATATGTCTTGTCAAAGCAGGAAGGTCAGAGGTCGGGGCCAGTTACAGATCAGCACCTCTACACCTGGGTGGGATTTACGGTTCTCTCAGGAACACAGAAGTTATGCACTCCAAACTGTGACAGGAAACTTTTGTAACACCAAAGCTAGAATTCATTGTTCATGTATTTATGACCTTTATGCGCTTTCCAGCCTAGAGTCTTAGAAGCTGGAATTCCACACATAACAGGCATCCAGTAAGCTTCCCTATGCAATGAGACACACTAAATGTAGGCTGTTAAATCTCAATATTATATATTAGCATTATATTGGCTGTGTATGTAGAATGATGGGCCTAGACTATTCAGTCTTGCACCATCAATTTCAATTAGTGTGTCTGCTAAGTTAATTGACTCCTGGCAGTGTGCTATTATATAGTGGGAAACCTGATTAAATGTCCTTAAAACTTAATTGCTTCTGTGCCTTGTGTAGAGCAGAATGGCAGTAATCTAGAGATTTTCTTTAGTGCTTAAGCTATGTCACATTATATACAGTATCTATAGTGGCCACTCCTCAGATCTAATGTTTCTCTGTCCACAATTATTGAACACGTCACGAGCAGAAGGCCGTGTTGAAACAGTTCAAATAGAATCAACACCTATAGCTTTAACAAAGTGTTGCACAGAGGGCAAAGAAACAGAAAACCTATTGTACAGGCACAATATAAAACATTAAAAATGAATTTTTAATCATTCACAGGAGGTCAAAACCTCAAGAAATTTAGTATTCAGTGTTAATGTTTGATGTTAACTAAAGGTAAGGTGTTGGCTCTATCCTTGTCCAAATCAGCTTTCTTTAACTATTGTGCTGTACGCTGTAGTAATTCAAAGCTAAGTTATAAACACAAGCGCCTGCATTTCAGCAGTGCTGTTGTGACATGGATTATGTGATGGTATATTTATTACACCATCACATCACTGTGAATCCATAATTAAGATCAGTAAAGGCATATCTACCGAAACACAGAGTTTGTAGTTAAAAACAATAACAAGCACTGCTATTGTAATACAGCAGCTATATTACATTGTGCTCTGATATTCTAGCTTTAGTAACAGAAAGTTGAAATATTAACATTTTAATGGAAGTCAAAAGACATTTGGGGATTCAGCATTATTGCACAGTCATGTTTAAATGATTGGTGATAACAACAGTTTTTTTTTCTATATGTAAATGGTAAATTGTTTTAAAAGTGAAGAGACAATTGCTTCATTTTATTTAGTCATAGTAACTGTAGATTCTGTGCAGGCCATTGGTTGGACAATTGCTCAGAGAGAGAGAGAAAGAGAACCCAAAGAGAAAGAGAACCCATTCATAGTGTCCAAAGACTTAAGTTATGAGCTGTTATCAAGCTGCCTAAGATAGCTGACATCGTTCTTGGTCATAAGTTCCGGTCTTAAAGAAAAAGACTTACTCTTACAGTGTTGTCTGAACGGCACAGTTATTTACCCCGGCAACAGTGTTGCAACAGGGACAGGTTAGGAAAGACACTGTGCACCTTTATTAATTATTTTCATTTCATCCATTTTCATTCATATTATTCTAGTAAATGAGATTACATGCTGTAAACATGCTTTTTAAGGCAATTTGTTTAGAAGACACTGATCACCCATCAATACAAACACAATAACAGAGTCACCTCGAAGCAATACCTTAATCAACAATATGTTTTTTGTATATGTGAGTTCTTCAGTTACATGCATGGTCCTACTGTGCAGCATCGACCATAATTACATATTATTATCTTTTATATTTGATGAAATTCCTCATTATTAATGGTTTATAAAATGTAATTTTACAGTTTTGACTTCAACAGTCACATACAACCATATCTATATCTGCTTATTCTCACGCCCCCTTTATAATTTACTGTATTATCTGTGTTTGTCACCAAATATTTGCAGATGTTCAAAAAAGGTTTATTAAAGCACAAGGACATCGTGAGCAAACAGAGCGCATCGTGATTAAATTATTTATACGTTTAAAAATACATACTCTGAAGTAGTAACTTGATTATGGAACTACAAATTCTACTCTTTGGAGAATAAATATGTAAATGAACGTGTAAGGTCACCAGCCTATTATCTGAAGCTCGAGAGAAATTTGGTCAATGTAGCAAGACAATAATCCAAAGCAGAGGTTTTTAAATGGCCTGGTTAAAGTTGAATCTTATTTAAATGCCTTAGCAGGAATTTTATCTCTACAGTCCATGCTTGAAAGAAGCTCTGTGTGATGTGTAATTTAAACAATTCTGCAAAGAAAAGTGAACCAAAATTCCTCTACAGCAAGGTCACCCACTGTAGGTACCAGACATGTTTGGTTGAAGCTGCTGCAGATTAAATAGGCACAGTCAGTTGTGTTTAATGGATAGATACTGTTTTAAAGGGGTTATATTTTCCCTAAGTAAATGTTTGTACTCATGTTGTCTTTTATAGAACTTTATTTTAAGATCTGAAATGTGTGAAAAATGCACAAATACAAAGGACATTTACAACTTTTGCTGCCAGCCACTTTAAAATTTACGAATATGACCCTGTTATGCTACTTGAACAGCTTACATCTCTGAACAGTGCCAGCTGTTGTGTCTTATGGGATCAATTTTACCAAAGTAGTCAAAATAAATAGATATATTTTTTAGTATTTCAATGGCAGGCCAAGACTGTTCCAACTCAACAAGCAGATAGGGAGGAAACCATAGTGTGCACAGAGCAGGTGAGAAAAAACAACAAAGGGAAAAGGCAGACAGTGTACCAAATGAGCACATGGCTAATGTGTACCGCTACTGTAACAGCGACCGCTTGGTGGTTTCTCTGCCAATCAGTCTTTGTTACTGTGGTGGCAGAAGTCCTCCTCTGGTGACTGCAGTTAAACAGTGGAGAAGGGCGGGCAGTTAAACAGTGATTAAGGATAGCTATTTAGAAAAGGCTGGGAGACAGGGAGACCTTGAGAAGTCAGCCATCCACAACACTGTTTATGTACAGTAGTATTGACTGGCCCACATGTACTGCCACATGAACACACATACATACACTGCACGCCAACATGAACATGGCCTCATACAGAAAAATGCAAAGTGAATCTAAACCTACACAACTTTGACTACAGGCAGAGCTTAACTGGCAGGTAGAAATGTTGCAATACTTTGAATCTGGGCATTTTAATTTGCCCTAAAGAGTTCATATTGATGAGCTGAACACTTGTTGAAAACTACAACTTTTCTTCCTTGTGGCTGCTGGCAGTGAAAAGAGGTGCAGTCATTTGTTTTGTTTCCTCCTGTGTGCTAAAAGGATTTCTGCAGTTTGTGTCTGTCTGTGATAAAAGGAGGATATGAGACACTTTGTAATTTAGCCTGAAAATGAACAATTTAAGTTACAAACACAAGCTAAGATTTTCAGAGTCGCACCTTGCTGTCGATCTCATTGCTGCCCAGAGAGGTCTGGATAACGTAGAGCAGAGCATCTGTCAGCCCATCACACTCCCTCATCCTTCGTCTCGCCTCCTCACCTGCTGAGCTTACGTTCCTGCAACACACATATGACAACAACTGGTTGGAGAGTGCGCTTTTCTCTGTATATGCTTATGCGTTTGCCAAATACACGGGGAAAGAAAGAGAGCTGATTGAGGAGGGAAGATGAGACAGGATGACAGATGAAAGAAAAAGAAAGCTGGTAATAAAAGCTGTGTAGAGGCAGAGGGAGAGAGAGAGAAACAGATACTGGGAAACCTGGCACTTCTCCCTAAACTAAACAATTGAAAACGGAGCATTAAAATTCTGGCTACATCTCAATCTATGCCCTGAAGGCTCACTTCAATTTAAAGCACTTGACTTGAGTCCAAAAAACAGGAAAGGGAAAAAAAAGCCACTTTAGTCAGACAGTTTGTGGCTGAACTTCACAGCCAACAATCACACCAACGCTGCTTTGATAATTTGACAATATTGTTCAGTATATTATTAGCAGCTTTGCCAATATGATGCACAGAAATAATGAATTGAATTTTGATTGAACTGGAAGTTCAGGTGGGCGTTGGGCTGGATTTGTTTGGGTTTCAACAAGGAACTGCCTGTGGTACAGAAACACTTTGTACGAGACAGTGACTCATTTGTCTGCGTTAATAAAATAGAAAATGAAACTGAGGTGAGCAGCATGAGCTAAAAATAATATTATACTTGCCTGAAATAATCACTTTGATGCTCAGTTCACACAAAAAAACCCCAGCATATCACGAAACATTGACACAATCTAGCAAATGTCCCACATTTTGGCACAGATTTAGAAAAGCAGGGAAACAACATGCAAAAACAACAACAACACAAAGACAGACACAAGAACATAATGAAAAAGAAACTCTGTTTTTAGGTGACTCATCATTAGCCACAGACCAAACTGCACAACAATTACATTGCAGTGAGTCACCGCAGTGCATGCAGATTAATTATGAAGTATAATTTATGTAAATTCAGTATAATAAACTTTACATTAATAACACATATTCCATATCATTTCAGGCCTTCAGCTATACACTAACAGAAAAAAGTTACCAATGCTGACAAATAGTGTTAGAGTCACAATCGGTTTAGCATGTGTGTAGCTGTCTGTCAGTGAGAACGTATGAGACAAACATCGATTTCTACTTCTATTTTTGTCTGTGAAGGTTCTCAGTCATCCAGGCCATAGTAGTCTAAAGAGCTTGGAAAGAAAAGCGTCTGGACTCTTCAGTTCTAAGAGCAACTGGTCCCAAATTTTGAGCCCCATGGGAGTGTCCCCAAGAGGGTCATGGACCCCCTATTGATCCTCTGTCTAATCACACGAGCCAAGGTGTGAAAAAGGTCACAATCAGCCAAGGTTTCGGGTGAACCCACTGTAAAACCTAGCCCCATCATATCACGTGATTTAGGCTACGTCCACACTAGCCTGGTTAGATTTGAAAACGATCTGAAAAGGCTCCGCGTCCACACTAGAGTTTTCAGTTGTTTTCACAGAGTTGCGCGTCCACACTGAAACGTCCGAAAATGCTTACGTTCCACTACTGCGCATGCGTGAAACGCAAGAAGACTCGACCTGCCTAATTTCTGTCTACTGCTTATTTACTTTCCGGCTCTTTCAAAAGTCGCGGCGAGTTTTTTAAATGGACTAACAATGAGGTGGAGTTGTTGCTGCAAGTAACACAAAAGTACAAAGTTGCAAAAGCTAGTGAGAGTTAAAGAATTTGAAGAAAAGCTATCTGGAGCATGTGCAGACTGATATTAATCTTTAATAGGGCTGTCAAAATTGAGAGCAAACAAAACAACTGCTGTATAATCAGGGCTGTACATAAGTGGTCCGCAAGTGCGCATGCGCTGTCAAAATAAACAACGCGCACCAGATAAGAAGTTGCAACGCGCGTTTGCGTACATAAGATTTTCTGGAGGAGGACAGACATTTGTTTAGAACTCTTAAAGATGTCGAAGAAGCAAGCTCCTTTAAGCAATTACTTTGGTGTTCCTCCACCTCCGAAGAAATGTCGGAAGGAGCCGCAAAAGAAGCGCGTATTCTCGGAAAAGTGGTTGCAGGAGGTGAGCTGGCTTCAAACAAATGCCAGCTCACTTCCTGCAACCACTCCGCACCTGCGGACCACTTATGTGCACCCCTGTGTATAATGCTCTCTGCTATCTTAGTTTAATTGGTCACATGACATCATATGACTTACATGTGTCATCGTTTTAGAAAGTCGGCGTTTTCGCTGTCCACACTGCGACGCAAAAGCACCGTTTTCAAATGTATGCGTTTTCGAGGGCGTTTTGAAAACGCTGCGTTTTCCATGAGCGAAAACGCTGTCTCAGTGTGGACGGGAGGCTAAAACGGAGAGAAAACGATGTGCTTTTATACGAAAACGCATTAGTGTGGACGTAGCCTTACTGAGGTCAGAAGGCCCAGGATGTAAGTGGGGATCTCAAAACTGGATTATAGATGGCAGACAGTTGGTCGTTCACAGTGGACATAGATGTCTTCTTTCACTCCTCTTTCAAACCATCTTTCTTCTCTGTCCAAAATGTCATCATTGGCATCCTTGCAGGAGTGACCCTTGTCCTTAAGATGCAGATGAACAGCTGAGTCTTGTCCAGTGGAGGTGGCTCTTCTATGTTGTACTTCTCTATTTTTTTACTTAAGTACCTGATCAGGCTGCACTAGATAATGTCTGTTACTGGAGCATAATAGCTCCACATTAAGATGGCAACATCCTCACCCCACTTCATTCTGGCTTTCAGTTACAATGAAACCATTTGAATATTGGCTTCTGTGTTTCTTCACTATATGTATTTGCTGGTTGTTAGAAAGCAGCTCAGTTACATGATAAATCAACACATCTACATACATTCAAAGCCACCAAATCTATAGTAGTTTCACACTTGATATCTGTGTTTGGAAAATGAGTGGGACACATCAAACTAGTGCTTTTAAAACATTTACGGTTTGGTGTTCTCTTTACTATTGACTTTACTATTATTATGTGTTGACCTGCAGAGAAAAAGAGGTGTTTTATTCAAGAAAAGATCTGGCCAAACACATAAATTTAACAAGAGGATGTGCAACAACCCCTTGTAACCGCTGCTGTCAAGGTTTATGTTTAAACAGTTATATAGACATAGTCCAAAGATGATCAACATGGCAGGTGTCCCAGCAAAAAGCCTTGGCTGTTCAAAATAGAAAAGGAAATACGTTTTGCAAATGAAGATATATAGGCAAAGACCAGATCCACTAGAATGACTCACCCTGGACAAATAAAATAAAGACAAAGTTTTCTGGTCACAGTAAGAGCAGACACACAATTTAGTGCAGACTAAATTCAAAAATCAAATACTAAATTCAGCTTTTAAGGAGACCGTGCTCATTGCCACTGTGGAACATGATTTGGTCTTGATTCAATATCTCAGGGACCAGGCAGCTTGTTGTCATGGATTCAGTTATGAATTCTAGATCAAATATTTAAGTATTTTAAGATAATGCAAGGCCATCTGGAAGTCTAAGTTTCACTGAAATCTAATCTTCACAAAAGGAAAGCACACTTGTAAACAGACCCAGAAATGACTCTAAAAGAAAAGCTATGGAATATTTAAAGCACCTTTAATGCACCTGCACAGTTTTCCAGCCACAGCTAATCAACAAAAAGAAGAAGAATGTGCTATTAAGTAAAATGACCTGTATTTGTATAGTGCTTTACTAGTCCCTAAGGACCCCAAAGCATTTTACACGTTCAGTCATCCACCCATTCACACACTGGTGATGGCAAGCTACATTGTAGCCACAGCCGCCCTGGGGCGCACTGACAGAGGCGAGGCTGCCAGACACTGGCGCCACCGGGCCCTCTGACCACCACCGGCAGGCAACGGGTAAAGTGTCTTGCCCAAGGACACAACGACCGAGACTGTCCGAGCCGGGGCTCGAATTGGCAACCTTACGATTACAAGACGAACTCCCAACTCTTGAGCCACTATCCCCCCAACTACCCAAAGAGTTAGATGCAGATTAGATAGGCAAAGCCAGAAACTACAACAACTGTCAAAAAACCTTTTGTGGAAGTCCTTCAAAGATTAAAGAGCGTGAACATACACTAGTGCAAGGTAACAGGTCACACATTTTCTGTAACTATATAGCACTTTATAGAGGATGTACTATGTGGGCTCAGACAACTGGTGAAGGAGCAAGACGACAAACAAACAAAACAAATATTAAAGAGTGGTGACACCAGTTTAAATATCATTCTTTTAAATCTGAAATGTCAGAAACGAAATGAGACAACACCTTGGTATAGTTTGAACTTCTTCAAGTTCATCTATCATAGTGCCATAATAAGGAGATCACTAGTCTAGGGGATGAGATCTTTCAAATATTGCACTGATGAGAAAAGGAGAAAAGAAAGGGAGAGACACAAGAACTCAATTAAAACTTCACGTTCACGGCTCCCTGCTTCCAAGAGAAGGTCAAGTCATTTTCACCCTCTTTGAATGCTAATGGGCAAACAAGCACACGATGGAAATGCCGCTTAACGGAAAACTATTCTCTGTCAAGTTGATATAAAACAACATAACAGTGAAAACACTTCACCTTGACTAATGTTTAAGCAGCAAAGACAGGCGGCAGGTGGGTGAGAAAGAGGGAGGGTGAATTATTTACTGCTTTAACACCGACTTTAGCCTTGAATATGTCGACTTCTACAGAGATTTGCATCATGTTCTTTTAAATGATCCCCCGTCATGAGTGGAAGAGAAGACACTTAGCAATGCAACATGAATCTTTTATTGAGAGCTTTTATAATATTAGGTTTTTAGCCTGTATACATATATAATACGAAGGTAGACGCTTAAGCAAGCAATGATATGTGATCACTCACAGGCACGGCCCTCTTTCTCTAGTCTAAACTTTCTCTCCTGACAACTGTCTCACAGACAGAAGCTTAACTAAAGTTTGCCTTTTCCTCCTTGAGACACGTTTTCATAAGCCCATCACACTCCCTCATCCTTCAGCCAGTCAGCATCTAATGA